AGCATGTTGAAGAACCACTGTACCCTCACCCGTCCCTGACACATCAACAGATGTTCCCCATACCCCGGCTAATCACGCTGTTGAAGTACTACTTCCAAATATCGGTTCAAACCAAATCATCGCCCTTGTTGGTTCCGACTATGATACTTCCGATTCAGGCCAGCCAACACATACCGAATTGATCCGTGGTCTGGTGCGGCATTGGCTTACCCCCATCCTCGCTTCTCGACCGGATTATGACGGATAACCTGGTCCTTCTCGGTATTTTGTACTCTGCACTAACCCATTCCGCGGCACTACACGGCGCAGACCCGATCCGTACCACAGAGATGGGTACTCTACTTAGTAGGTCAGCAAGCGAATATATGGAACATTCGATAGTAACAGTGTTTTGTCAACACCGGCCCGAATTGACTCAGCACATATCTTTCATTGTCGACTCACTTGGCCCAAGCTTCAAACGGGAATTTACTGACCACTTCTTCCTATCAATCTTTCCTGAACCACTACAGCGACTATGGGAGCCATACCATATGTTCATACATTGTATCATACATACTTGCCATTTTTGAAATAAATAATATTATCCCTATCACTTCTGTCGCCCTCGCACCCCCTAAGCTATTTCCTTTTTTTCGTTCTGACCTTACGACTCATTCCGAGAGGTCTCCATACAAAGCTGCTATTGAAACTAACCCGTTGAAAGGATTTGTCAGTTTGTATTTTCACTGTGACTGATTAATATATTCTCAGCACTAATCAACCTCATAAATAATAAATTTTTCTTCTATTATTTTTAGTAGAGGTAGTGAAAAACTATAACAAAGACGAAGCGGATTTAGAAAAAGGCCGCACAAAATATTAAATGTGTCTGTTATTTGAAGATAAGTCAATGCTGAATTTGGAGGTACTGTACATACTAAACCGGACTAACAACCTAAGGGAAAAACAAAATCAAATTCCAAGGGCTGTTTTAAAAGGCATATGTAAAAGAAACGTCATAGCAGATTTGCAAACAAGTTCTGTGACCTTCCATTCAACCACCAAAAAGCAGCCCAGCACGGAGTTATCCAACAACGTCTTAGTTGTGGCAAATATACTGCAAAAGTCGACTAAAACTATCCCAGTTCAAAAGGCATGCGCGATAACCCAAAGCATGGAGTAGACACCAAACTAGTACGCCAAATTAATAAGCATAAATAATTACAGATAGTTAGTTGACAACATAGTTATAAATGCTATTAGTCGTAGATTGTACGATGATAGGTTAGCACACACTGCCTCTCCTTGAAACACACAAAACGTATGATAGTAGAGTGAATACAGACAATAATATGTGTATTTTACCCAGCAAAAGAAGTAAATACAAAGTTGGTGTATTCCAGAGAATATATGATATAGGAATAAGAAAATATTCTACAATATAGCAAGATTCAACCATTTTGTATTTATTCAGAATTCAAAACTTTAAAAAAGAATTTTTTTATTAAAAAAAGGTAGTTAATATAGCAATTTTTTTTCATATCAGCATTATAGGCGTAAGCTCCAGGGTGCGTTTCAGCTGATAACCCAAGGTCGGGGCTTTAAGATACATTGCTTTGTTGGCTATATCGCATAAACGTTTGTTCATTTTGACACGACAAAATGGTTGCCTCACTATCAGCTAACCATACCCAGCAATCCTACAGCCGATAAACTATATCCATCACACGGAGACACATAAATATTTGAATTTACTTCGTTGGTTTGATTCTATAATCATGCCTGTAAGCCAAAGAGGTGTCAGGGTCTCATACTAGTGACCTGCCAATTGTCAGGGTCTCCACTGGTCGGCCGACGGATCCTCAGGCCATCCGGAGGCTGGCGATAAGTTTGTCAGGCTAAATTTTTATGGTTCTTTTTTTGACTTGGGTGCAAATTTGGCTTTGTATAGTATAAAAATATACGAGCATATGGTAATGGTAAACGATATACAATAAATATGCAATATAATATGCACACGTATGTACACCAATATATATACACAGTTGTGGCTGCTCAAGACAATAGTCTGCTGCAAGTTAAGAATTAAAAAAACACTAAAAACGGGATACCAGTGGAAATAGGCCCAGTTGATATTTTAGCTGGGGATGATGTGACAATGACAAATACAATGGTGACGTGTAGGGTTTCGATGTCAAAAGTTTGAAGTATTTAGAAGCAATATAAGCTAGCAGATTACCCTTTGTAAGTACAGATGTCGGAGCAGAGATACCAGATACTATAATCACGTATCGACAGTTATTTGGTGACACATCTCATGTTCTCAAATACTGCCAAACTTCTGATCGAGCATATGTTGCAACAGCATAGGGACTTCCCACTCCTCTACTGGCAATAGGAACTGCAGATTGAAAACTGTTCGTCGCTTTTCCCGTTTAGAGTCGGTTAGAATTGTTTTCGAGAGACGCCTTAGTGAATTTCAAATTCGTGCTTGCTGTACAGGCTTAGACAAGTTGAATGCAGAGCTTAATAGCCATTCAGTGCGCTCAGACACTTCCCACCAGCAGGAAAACGACGCTGTTAGACACAAAATCCGCAGCGATGCTAATGAGAATGGGGTCAGTTATGTATGGTAGGAGGGATAAAGCAGGAAGTAGTAAAATAGTCAAATGACTGAACCAACCAACCACTTAGTATACTACAAACTCCACAAGAACGATAATCAGCTCTGACTAGCTCATTATAGAGACAATAGAAAACTGAAGTCACATGTCAGGAACTAACACCCTGATAGTTTAAACAGCTCTTTAGGTGTCACTTACCTTCCAAGTATATATATATATATATATATATAGTAGATTTTAGTAGATATGTACACAAAACCTACCATATTTTCAGGGGTAGTGATTCAAGTGAAGCTACATCATTTTGCGGTAGTATTTATTGCATTTTGTGGGGTGGGATGAATAAGCTTGTGATAGAGTTCATATACAAGTTGTTCACATGCGAATTAACTTCCTTCTTTATTCTGTAGTGCTAATGTACATTGTGATTGCTTTCCGGCAATGGGTACGGACTTTCCGGCAACGGGTACGTACTGATGAAAGCGGTCACTTTATGATTTGCCAAGTATTTGCGGAGTTCTGACGGTGTACAAGTCTTGGCAGTGTGGTAATCGGAGTCCAGATTTTGCATGTTCATGGTTTTCTTTTGCGCATGTATTCACGACGATTGGAGGATATAGCTGACAAATGTTGCTCTCGACATCGAGTTCATTTAGAATTTGAAGAGTCTCCGAATACCGCTTCACATGTATGTCTTGTCAAGGAATACATGGCTTTACCTGGAATATTCAACCCCCCCCCCACCCCACCCCCCCCCCCCCCCTTTCGTGAAAATATAGTAGAATTTGTTTAGCAGTGAGCTAGCATTGTGCTATTGAGTATCGGCGTTCAGATTTAAATACATTGGATCGGGTCTTAAATATACATATAGGTGAAATCAGTAAAAGCGAGCGATTTACCATTTCTCATGTTGTAGGTTGTACTTTTCTATGAATTTATCATACCCCCGGGAGTTGCGTGTACACATAGCGTTCCCAACACTTCCCGACATAAGCATGCCCAAACCGATACACATGGAGTGTGTGAGATAAACCGACTATTAAGGTCAATTCTGCCTACAGTAGCGCAGTAAAGATGAACGGACATCAGAAATGGGGCAGTAAATATGTGCTTTGCATAGCACACGGCAAGGTCATCATGTTTAGAAAAACGATTGAAGACCTCGGTGTGAACCATCAGTACTGATCATGCTTACCACTTTATAGGCAGTGACCTCTGAATTATGTGCTAATATACGATGGTAACTCGAGTTGTATGTATTTCGGAAGCTCGGAAACGACCTTAGATTAAAAGTTTATTACCCACATGCGTATTTCAACATTGAGAACTAGCTTCTATCTCTAGCAATGATGCTAGAGACTCGCAGCTGGAGTTGTGGGATGGCCATAGTATGAAACCGATGTAAATACAATTATAGAATTGGCAGTTAATTTTGACAACCAGGTGAAGATGAAAAGACTTCGGATGCCAGTAATAAATATCAACATAAAAAGACGTTCGCAATTCACTACTCTACGGGTCACAGATCTCTCTCTCTGTTTACGAACGCGACAATAACTATAGCAGATTCAACCAGACTTGGCAACAACTTAGTATGCAATATTTTACCTCATACAGAATTGCTAGAGTTGTTTCCAGCAACAATGTCTCTCAGAATACGTTTGAACTGTTGCTAAGGAACAACCCAAGTAGCAGACGAGCATTCCCAGATCACCAACATAACACAATTTATATCGTCAATAGAATCCTTGTCAAGCTTGGTTTCATCGGCGTCTGCGACTAGTCGCCAACAACCATTGTTTGCTTTCAGTACTATTTGAGTTGCTGTTACATTGTGCACTACTTGAAATTGCTCTAAGATATCAGCTTTATTTACTTGCAGATCAACTGATGATCACCGACGGCTTTCTTCGATGAGATATATTTCTACTAAAAATAACATTTCTTGCTGTACGAGAGTATGCAGTGTTGTTGTAGTGTTTATATCACTTTCACTACTTCTTATCGATTCGTCCTTACTAATATCCATATCGGTCCCAAACCCAGCAAAACTTAATCTGGCCACTACACAGAGTGCTGAGATTGCAAAAGCTAATTTTGGCTGCGTACGTTTTTTTCCATCTTGCAATGCTTTTGATGTTTATCATATACTGTATTATGAGAGCTTTTCTTTTGACAGGTTCGGTGTGTCCATATTCAACCTTTTAAATTTGCCTGTTAGGTTTGTTGGTTCAGCCATTCTCTTTATTCACTACAACAAGCTAGTCGCGAGTACTTCGATCTCGGTGCGCACGATTTGCTCCTGGATGTATTTCTCTGGGAGATAGCGCTGATCTAGTACCAGCTGATTGGCTCTCATCACAAAATATACCCAAGACAAGATTTGAACTTGACTTCTCTGATTCTGTAGAAGAAGAAAAAAGGAGTTACTGATCCAACAAACCTTTCAGTGCAGGAAATTTACGGGAATTCGCCCAGGAATGTATTGTGCAGTCTTAGGTTTTCAATCAATAAAAAGCCTACCTCGTGCTTGTAGCGTGACAGCTTAAACGCAATTACCCCAACCACTTGATCCGTCATTAACCATTTACTTTGTATTATTTCTTCTCCATATCGTATATATATTCATACGACCGGGACATTCGTGAAACCGCAATATACACAAGTATACCTAATAGTTGTGTACAACTTGAATTCTACATCCAAAGCGCAAGTTGAGACTCATCAAGCGTGGTAAGATTTGCCTGAATGGTGATATAGTATGCGAAGCTCTACAAAGTAATATGTGAGCTTGCACTGAATGATCGGGGGCTTTTCTAGTAGTAGCTTGTCGTATCTGCCCCAATCTGCAACACTATGTCACCGACTATGAGAGCCATACCATATGTTCATACATTGTATCATACATACTTGCCATTTTTGAAATAAATAATATTATCCCTATGTCACATCCTGCGAAGTCATCGTGTATTCTACTCAGCGCCTAAATCTGTCCCAAGTCTCCAGGTGTGGGACTCAAGAAAGTCCTCTTTTGCCCCAGATTTTTTTGTTGCTTCATCATAACAAAACTAACACAAAAGGTGTAAGGTCCGACAGCACTGGAGTTTGGTACTCGGTGTACCAAACCGATATTAATACATCAACAACACTCTAAGATTGACAGCTGATATAGAGCCGGGAGTGATTGACAGCTAAGTGGAGTAGAAGTTGCGGGAGAGATATACCTTATGGCAGGATGCATTGGTGCACCTCTCCACCCTGAACTGGATAGTTGGTTATGTTGGTGAGGGATAAGAGAGAAAGAAGACCACGAGAGAGAGAGAGAGAGAAAGAGAGATATGAATCTATCTGGTAGAGACTGACTGAGAAGGGAATAAAAGCAACTATGGAAGATACTTAGAGAAGTAACACACTGTAGGGCCCGATCATCCAAACAGTGAACTCGGAGGCACAAACAATAAACTGAACGTCAACAATGGTCTATTTCAAGTGTGTTTTTCAAACCAGCTTCTATTTCCCAGAGAGAGCACAAGGGATAAAAGTAGTGCCTTGTAGTTTTACAAAAAAGAACGAGAGGGAGGACGTGGGACTGTGGCTGTCGGCCTGCGGCCCAGAGGCCGGAGGCCGGAGGCCGATGTCATCAGGGGAACTCTCCTCACTCCTCAGGGCTCAGGGGACTGGAGTATTTTTGTTGTTTTTCCGAAAAAAAGTTACTAATGTAATGACTCTGGTACATACGAATAAATATTGCACGCGCGTACTCGGGCTTATAGACACAAGCAAGAGGTATTACAGTACGAGCACAGAAATTCCTTACATTCTTAGCCAGTATGACGACAGCACATCGACCCACCTGGACCCCCGCCATCGGCGGTGGTACTGCTCGCGACCAGGGCAAGACCTTTCAATACAGTAGTCGAGATCTTCCTTCGGAGCTAACACTCAAAACCCGGAAGCGTGCACCGGGCGATGAAGCTGACGAATACGATCGCTTGGATCTAAAGGAAGACGTATGTGGTTGTGCTTGGTCACCAGACCTCACGACATAAACGTAATTTGTATAGTGTACCGCAAAGACTTCCATATTAGTTGAAATAATGTTTGGGATGAGTGGTCACATGGCTGGTTGTGTTTGTACGCACGACCAAATATTAATATGTAAATATAAGTTTGCCCACAAGGACGTTTGATGTATGTATACACAAGAATGGTTGCATATTTTGCAGACTAATATACATACACATACAGTTTAAAGTGAAGCCTTTATCTACAAACTGCTATCCGTAAGTATATAAATGTATGTATATATACATACACCCTTCTCCCCCACCCACTAAGACATACACACCTACACGCACATACACACACACGCACGCACGTACGCTCGCACATGCACACACACATACACACACACACCTACCCAAAAAAAAAACAAACACACACACACATACACACACACACCTACCCCAAAAAAAACACACACACACACAATACACATACAGACACAAACAAACACACACACACAAATACACATTCGGACACAAACAAACACACACACACGCACATACAAAAACACATATACATACACGAACACGTACACGCACAAGCACAAGCAAAGGCACACATACACACTCATATACACTCACGCACAAAAAATCACTCTCTCTCACACGCGAATATATATATATATGTATACATACATATATACATATATATTTAGATG